GAGGTAGTAGCTGGCTGCCGCCGCTACCGTCGTGACGTCACGGGTGCCTTGGGCGCTGCTGCGGTGGTTGTGGGGTGGTAGTAGCAGCATCCTGCAGTAAGTCTACTACTGCCTCCACAGCTGACGAGAGCTGCATCCGAGACGCCCGTGACGTCACTGCTGTAGTGGTGGCAGTCTGCTACTACATCCACAGTTACTGCAGCGTAGAGTCAGGTCTATGAAATAATGTGAAATAATTTTGGATCGTATTTTAATTCTTTATTGTTTCAAATCATTCACGTTACAAGAGTACATTTTCCTCAATAAGCTGGCTCCTTTCTGCTGGTGACTTTGGACGAATCTAAATTCCTGAAAAAGAATGAAAAAAATCTAAGTTAAATTCAAAAATTATCTCAGAGTTCAACTCAAGTGTTTGGTCCATCTGTATCACTGTGACGCCAACTCATCGAATGAACTTTCTATGTTACAGGTGGCCAGCTTCAAGTCCAGGCACATCCCTTTGGACAAGAACCAGCATCACCTCCTATTTTACTACGACTGTACGAGACAAATGAAATAAATAACAGCATTACTGAAACTGACTCTCCGATGATTTGCCTCTCTCACTTCCCTCCACTAAAATCAACACACGACTACATGTTTTAGGATCAAGTAATAAGCGTTATATATGGAGGTAGCATAGAGACAGTAAAGATACGACAAGTAACCCCCTAGTAGAAACAAATACCTAAATAAACTTTTACCCAACATGACTCTACCATAATGTATTGATATTCTTTTTGTTAACATTACATAAAAAGTCAAAACTTACCAGATTTATTCCTGTGATCATGAGAAAAAGGGTCCATTTCTCATGCTGTGTGCTGTGACTCCGACTCAGCATGACAGCTGACGGCTGCTTAGCTGATGTCAAGCGCAGATGCAACTAATAGACCGTCTTCCTGCAACAGGGGGAAAAACAGAATTTTGGTTTACATATATCATGGTTACAACAACTCCTCTCTGGACTCTCAACAGTTTTAGGGAGCTGCATAACATCAACTTGCCATGCTTCAAAAGCATTGTGTAGGACAAACAATGTCAACTCAACGTCAAACATTCACAGGTGGAATCAAAGAAAAATAAAGCTTAGATAAATATTCATGCACTTTTAACTCTGTTTCCATATTATTTACTTTACATTTTTATCAATTATTCAAGGACTAAAGAGAAAAGGAGCATTCAGTTGGGATGAATTAGAATATTTATGCCCGTCTTTGAGCAGAAAAAATTGCAAAATCAATGAGGAGATAAAAGAAAAGTATGAACACATCATAAATAACATTTGTAAGATTTCATGAAAATAAATAAAGTAAAACTTTTTTGTAAGCCCTCGTTTCTTCCAGTCCTGCTTCCATGGTATCCTCCATTCTCTTTCGCAATCCTTGGTGCAGCAGAAAGGTTCAAGACATTAAGGATCTCAGAAACTTCAAAATTTATTCTAAATGTAAACAAAAAATTAGAATCCCACTTGAAAAAGTCAAAAATTTTGGTGGCTATTACATTAATAGCAGTTATTCCCTAAGGACAGAAAATGAGCAAACTGGCGCTCTTTTCTATTATAAAAACATCCTCACATGACTTACTGAGTATTATTACTTTCCTCTGTACCCGCAGGAAGAGAGTCATGAACTAGGGCTGCGAGGATGACGGAATGAGGAGCGGGGGGGCTACAATTACTCTCAATGGACTTAATTACATTCACTGCACCAACTTTATGAAAAATATCGATCCATTTTTCATTTGACGCCATTTGAGGCTTTCATTACTACTTCTTTACCAGCCCACTTCACCTTCTTAGTGGTAGGAAGAAAGAGTATTGATCTCAGTGCGGTGTCACCCTTTATGAACTGTTTGTACTTTCATCTAGAAACACATACCACCTACAGACATGATAGTAGTACGACTGTAGAGTGAAGACGCTGGTATCATATTGAGCACTCTTTTTTGAGAGTTTTCATTCTCTCTAGATTAGTGCCGGCTTACTTGCTTATGATGCTATGTATGCTACTTCTGTAATTTTGTAGCTCATGTCTTTTTGCTTGACATTTTATACCCTATGTTTTCCCTGTTTTGGTTGAATAAAAGAATCTGAATCAGATTCAGCATCTTTGGCTAGACACCAAATACCAACAGCCCGATAAAAGTGAAACAGAAAAAAAATTTAGACATCCATTTAAATATGCCTTAGAGAAATGTCAAAAAAAAATTGGCACAAGGTAGTAAATTCAAAATGAGGTTATGTAGATAAGTTTGTGGATGAGACTTATCACGTGTGCGTTCTTCCGCGTCTACGCATAGATAGAGGTGTCTCTAAGATACTATAAGTGACAAATCTATAATTTACAATGACGAACTAGAACAAAAACAAAATAACAACAGCAGTTTCTTACCTCCGCGAAGTCAGAAACAACCACACAAGCCTAACGATAACGAAACGAACGAACTAACGCAGCAAACAACCCGAACCCGTAGTAGTCTCGTTGCAGGGTGTAGCTGGGTGTGTTGCAACTCAGGCGCTAAGGGTAGGCCACTATCTGCATACAGACACTTGGCGGGAAGGCCTACCCGATGCGCCGCAGGCGTTGTCATTCGGCGAGTTGTGGCTGACGGCGCCAGGAGGGTAGGCAATCAGAGGTTTGGGGGCCCCCGGGCCCCATTGTGTTAGTTCAGATGCATCCGGGGATAATGTTCTATGGTCGGGTCGGATTAAGCTGACTCTGACCGCCGGCATTGTGGCCACAAATAGTGTATTTCGACTAACGGAGGAAGAAGAAGAGCGGATAGAACATAAACGTTCACGGTTGGTCGAGCAGATTCCCGCCTCTACGTCACGCAGGTAGTGGGGGTAAAGGTTGGACCAATCAGGAGCCTTTATGTTCTACCCGGCTCTTCTTCTTCCTCCGTTAGTCGAATTACACTATAGGGACGTGGGGTCGAGTAGGACGGTGGCGGCCATGGCGTGCTTGTTGGGGGCTGCCGTTGCTGCTGGAGGACGAGGGCGAGGCGAAGCCGGGGCGGGCGGCTCGGCGGCGTTTAGCCCAGCGGTTCTCAACCTTTTCCGGCTCGCGACCCCAAATTGGCTAACCAAAATTTTCGCGACCCCACAGAAGGATTTCCGCGACCCCATGCGACCCCACACCGAGCCCCCCCCCCCAAAAAAAAACATATATTTTATTTGAAACTAGAGTCATGGTTTTGGGGGATTGTTTATTTATTTCCATCGACTTCCTTGTGGCCGCCGCCACACGCAGGTCATACTGTACGTCGAGTCTATTTCTGTGTTTGATATGTCAAGTCAGAAAATGTCGCTTCTGCCAAGCCGCGACCCCATGCGACCCCAGGCACCTCGCCGCGACCCCACCAAAAAAATTTCGCGACCCCAAGGTTGAGAACCGCTGGTTTAGCCTAAAACGGCGATGTCACTCTGCCTCCGTCACTGCAGGCCCCTGCGGTTCGCAGAACCGTTAAAATCAGGCAAATTAAGTAACTGACCCGGCTCGCGGCTTGAGCAGTAGTACACACCTCTTTCGGGCGACATTTTGGAGCACATGGCTTGAGGTTGACGTTGAGGTCATGTTATGTCAACAAACGCTTTCGAGCGGCAGGCGTCGTCGTGACCTTGGCCTTCTGCCGGCTCACAGCTGACTGACGCTTTCATTTCCGAGCGGAGCCGCGGCCGGAGCGAGCCGAGGCGAGGCTTGCTTGTCGCCGCCGCCCCGGGTCGTAGAGCGTGTCGGAAAGGTTGCCTGCGTCGAAGGCGCCTGATCGCAACACCTTGCTCGCTACCCGACTCCGATGTCTGGATGTCACTCGAAAGAGGAAATTGTGGCCCCGTCATATCAGTCGCCCCACACCACGCCCCACCCCACACCCCACCCTGGGACAAAACGTCATGACACGCTCCGGGCGTGTTTATCTTATCTGATGATTTTCAGGCACGGCACAGGGGGTGCGTCACGACCGTGCGAACCGCATCCAGTCTCTCGCACAGCACCCACTAGCTAGCTGTGGTCGAAGAATTGCATCATTGCATCATTGCATCATTCTTCATCGTTGGGCATAAGTAAGTCTCTCAAAACATTGTAGCGCACACATACTTCTAAATCTTAAATTTTGCCACCCAAAGCAGCTAGAAATGCGAAAATTAACGATGGGTTCTCTGTCAAATTCCTTGCACTCTACCTCGCAACTCATGAGTTAAAGTACGCAGTACTTGCAGCTAGTTAAAAAAAAAAAAAAAAACTGGTTAATTAATATGCATTTCAAAATTCAGGCAACCCTTGTTTTGCCCCTACCTCAGCCATGGGCCAGACCTGTTCCCTTGGTGCCGGTGAAGCATCATTTCCCTGAACTACTATCCCCGTGTGTTGCAGGGACCCTGGAGAAAATGGCGGCGGTGGCAGCAGGAGTGAACCAGGGGATGGAAGAAGGGCAGGGGCAGGAGAGGGAGTGTCGCGAGGCAGACAGGGACGCGTGGAAGAAGTACCGGGACGGTGGACGCACAGACCACGCGAGCGCGCTCCGGCTCGTGAACAGCAAGCACACGCCTAAGCAGCACAAAGGCTTTCATAAAGCCCATCGGGACCGTCACGAACGGCACAATGAGACCCAGAGGATGAGGTACGAGGCGGAGTGGGACTTCTTTAACATCCGCGACCAGCCGGTGCGTGACCTGATGAGGCGGGTCACCGAGCATCAGTACAGGGACGAGGGCGCAGACGTGCCGCCGCCCATCGACCTGACGGGGAAGAGCGCGCGTCACGTGATCGCGGCGGCCAGGCTGCAGCAGGAGACGTGGCTCACGCTCGTCAGGAACATCACGGACGTCCACAGAAGCATCCCGGTCGCTCATACAAAGTCATTCAAAATGCAAACAATTGGAAAGAAGGAGGAGAAGTTCATCCACTTTGGCCCAAGAGAGACCTACGAGGCCAAGTTTGAGGGAAGAGCGTACGAAGTAGAGAGCGAGCACCGCACGGAGGGTGTCGACGAAAAAGAAGTGCCAGCCGATTCCATACCTCAGCTCGGAATGTCATTCGTGATCGGGCTTAACTATTACAACAACGACATCCTGCCTGATCTCAAAGGCATAATGTGCGCCCTCGGGGGAGCCCACCCGGGACCGGGGCAGAGGCGCCTGGCCGACCTGTTCGCCCAGTTCGCGAAGAGCCACTCGCTCGCGGGGGCGCCAGAGCTGAGTGACGAGCAAAGAGACAAGCTCTTCAAGATATGCTTCCTCATCATGGAGAAGGAGCAGGCGCAGTGGCAGTCGAGCTTCTTCAGTAGATTCGTTTGGCAACTGGGGATGAGCGTGTCCTTCGCGCGGCTGATCATCCTCTTTAGGGAGGGTAAGATTACTCTCCACGATGTGTTCAACAGGTACGGCATCTACGGTAATCATCCTAAAATAAAGGGCAAGAGAAACACAATGTTGGAATCTAACGACTGCGTGCGCGCCAGGTGCGACGCTATTGACCAAAAGTACGCGTGGCATATGAGGAGGCCGCTAACCAAAGAGGATGCGGAGGCTGACCTGCGTGAAGTATATGGGGACGAAGAGGGGGTGTAGGTGAAGTCCAGCATCTTGGACAGCTTCATATTCACTACCCAATAGACTGAAATTTTGCATTCACTTGTCACCCGGTGGAGAACCAATAAAGCCTCTCGCCAATTCACTGTTTTGGACAGCCAGCAAAGCAGCCGGTCGTTGTTATTTATCCTGGAACATAGTTCAAATCCTCACTGATTTACTCACAGAAAACATTAGATTCGGAACACGCATATAATATTTACAGGACATTTCCCAGGTAGCAGAACTGCATCATGACCAATGCATATGTCCAATCTAAAATGCGCTTAAAAGGCGCATAGGGCGCTATAATAGCGCTTTAAAGCACCTTATGCGCATTTTAGCCACTGCCAGTTACGGCCTCCGCGGGTATTCGTCACCGAGACCTCAGATGCTCCACCCCGCGGCCCGCGCCTCCACTGCGCGTCGTGCTCCTGTCTGACGGCCCCGCCCCGCCTCACCCCGCTGGGGGCGAGCGCCCCGAGGTGGGCAGACCCGCCGAGCAGCCGAGCCCCGGCGCGGCCTAACCTCCAGGCGCCCAGGTGGAGCGCGCCGCTGGGGGCGAGCGCCCCGAGGTGGGCAGACCCGCCGAGCAGCCGAGCCCCGGCGCGGCCTACACTCCAGGCGCCCAGCGCGCCGCGCGCCCCTCGGCAGCTGTGCGGGTGAGATGCGCGCGCCTCGCGTAGCCGCATGGATGAGCAGACGACGGCGATGGCCAGGGGAAGAGGAGCTGCATTGGCAAGCTTCAAGCCTCCACCGCCGCCCTGCGTGGCGACCGGGAGCACGTGGGAGAGCGGGCGCGCTGTGCATAGCTCAACAACGGCCGCAGAGCGACGTCGGGCAGTTCTACTGTACCAGACTCTATTATACGCCGGTGCGGCTGGTGAGGTGCAGTTTGCAAAAGTCGATCGTCGCTGTCCGTCCGTTTGTCTGGCGTCCACGCCTCGCAGCGCTGTGCGTCAAAAGGAAGCCTGCCTGATACATGACGTCAGCTCTGACTAACTCCCATGCAAAAGGATGTCGAGAAAATAGAGAGGAACGGGAGGGAGGGGCACAAGTAGGGAGCCTGGAGGGGGGAGAGTCGCAGAGACCACGTGACCGAGGACCCGGCGGGTTCAAACGCGTTCTTGAGGTCTGTGAAATGTGTCATACCTGGAGGGCCATTACGGAGCTCCCCCACTACGGTTCGCCTGCGCCTTCTAAACGCCCTGAAACAGGGTGAGGGGGGTAGAGGGGGGCAATTAGAAGGCGCAGGCGAATCGCAGTGAGGGAGCTCCGTAATCCCCCTCCAGGCTGACGCGCACGCGCAGTCCGAGCTAGCAGACGATCAGGCCGGACCCACCGGTGCAGGCTCGGCAGGTATGAGACATTGTGATGGACCTCGCCAAAACACATTGGAAACCGAACCAATCACAGCGCAGCACGTGATCTCTGCGACCCCCCCCCCCCAGCCAGTGGCGAGCAATGCATTAGTGCATTTCATTTGCCCGGCAACTTGCGAGGGGCCGCCTCCGTATTCCCCAGTTGGGTGCGGACCGGCGGACCGTCCCGAGCAGCGACACTGCAGTACTACACGCTGGTGCTGGTGACTTCACAGCTTTGGATACTTTGGTGTAGATGTAAGTACTTACTTGAACTTGAACATTAAAAACACAGGCAGAGAGTCAGTTTAGCAAATGTCTTTGACAAATAAAGTTAGTATTACCTATCGTTCTTCATTTGTGCTAGTGAGTAGGGCGCGCCCGGGGAGAAGAGGTGGGCAGGCTAGCCTTGGTCACGGAAAAAAAGTTGTCGAGGTTCGAGTCTCTTTTTAAAGAGAAACCCTTGCCGTGACTTTTGGTCATAGTCCTGTTGTAGGACAGCGAAGGGCGATTGACCGCCAAAGTGCAAGCGCTGCAGAATGCCGGCGCGGCGGGGATTAACTAATAGTTCGGTAATGTAACCATTAAGGTATGCACCCACTTAGGCACCCTTTAGCAATGTACAGCAGATCAGTATTTAGGGGTAGGGCAAGGGTATTTGGCATAAACCCAATAAATAATACTTAAGTAATAACTAACCATGGTGAAACTAGTAACTTATCAGACACACCCTAGAACCCCCAAAGAACCAATCATTTCAATACTAAAACATTGGTGCATCGGCCGGACGATCCCTTAGCTTGTCCCGTGGCAGTAATTTATTTTGAACCACCTTAAAGTTGCATTGTTTTATTTAAATTTTAAGTTTGCGTCTCAATGCTGCCATGTGCTTCTGTCGATTGGTACTTATTAACTTTTCCTTTGTGTTCCTAGTATTGATTTTATTTCCATGTGTTCTGCAAGAGTTTCCGATTATTTCTAGATGCTATTTTTGATCGTAGCTTAATTTTGAGACGCCAAAATGACGATTATTTTAAAATTCCAAGATGGCGCCGAACACGTTGTGATCGCCGCTAAGATTGGCAGCCATGTTTCGGAAATGCACGTACCGGAAAAGATGCGTTGACCGGATGTTTATTTCTTTTCATGGGCGCAGCCATCTTGAAGGGGCGTCATGTGACAGAGAAAAGTTCATGGGCGCGGCCATTTTGTCCTATAGCAGAATGTTTCTGGACTTTGGTGCTGGAGATGGTCATGCCTTAAGCAGTATTGTGCCTTGTTGCTGTGTACGCAACGAAAGGTTTCATTCATTAAATTATAAAAAGTTAAAAAAATTTAAAAAAGTTAAAAATCTCACGACTTATTGTATTTTGAAAATAATTTTGAGAATCAGGATGGTGAATAATTCTTCTTGTTGAATATTGTGAAGGCCTGTGAAGCACTTTATTTTAAGAGTTTAATACTGAGTACTGAGAAATGATAATTGAGAATACTGAGTTCTGAGAAACGAGTAATAATGTGAATTGAGAATAATATGGTTTTAGTGCAATGAGTGAAGTAAGGCTCTTAAAAACCCGACCCGTGGGTACTCGGGCAACCCGGGTAGGAACCGGGTCAACGGGTTTTCCCGGGTACCCGTGGTACCCGGGTAAACTCGGTGGAACCGCGCCTGCGAGTAGGCAATTTGACATGCTCGTATGTCAAATTGCCTAGCTATAGGCGCGGGGCAGCCGGGTAATACGCCGAGTACCCGCGAAAACCCGTCTACCCGGGAAAACCCGTCGACACGTTTCCTACCCGGGTGCCCGGGTAAGCGGGTTTTCCGGGTACCCGGGTACAAATAAGAGCCCTAGAGTGAAGTTGCACTTGGGATTATTAGCATGTAAGTTTTGTTTTGAAGGCCGAGTAAGTTAGATTTAAGTATTTCTTTTGGATTGGAGATTGAATTGTGATGATTACTGACTGATGATTGAGATGTGATTTGAAAAAAAGTTTTGATGAGATTTAGACTTAAAGGATATTTTCTTCTATGGGAACTTTCTCTGTCGCTGGCAATTTTAAACTATTGTGTTTAAAATTTTAATTCTTTGCTAAAAATAATAAATTAGAAAGTCTGATTTGCTGTACAAAGAATGTTAATTAGGTTGTCAAAGTGTGTTTCTAAAAGAAATTGAAATGAAGAATCTGCCTGGCCGGTGTGCTCGTCGTTGACTCCGTCGGTACGTAAAAATAATTAACTTGTTATGTTCAATTTTGAAAAAAAAATAACTAAGTGACCAGTGACCACTATTTTCAGTGTTGTATATGTGACGTAATGTAGATTGGTATCCGACGTAAAACTTTTCAAATGTTTAAAGCAATACTAGTCAGAATGTCAAGGATTAGAAGAAAAATTAAGCCACCAATCATCTTTCAAATAACTGGCCATATACGCTCTACGACCCTCTGGCAATAGAGTGAGAGAGACAAGCTAGTGGTGTCGTCCGCCGGCCAGTGTGTCTGTCTTTGTCACTCCTCATGGCACTCACAATGAGTGAGTCAAAGACAGAAACACACTCTGGGCCAACCCGATCGTGGCTCTCGGGAACCTCGCCTCCAAGAACAAGAGGTGCGCGGCTCTCGGCGAGCCGCGCTTGGCTATGAAGCTGCGAGTTTGCGACTGCAACTCCTCAATTTGGCCTTGGGACGCTCGACGGCCAAACGCATGGTACAGTAAGGTGCTTTGCAGTACAGCCGCGTGTCAAGCATCCCAGAGAATACACTATTCAGCTGGGCCCGCTTTATCACGATACTGTCGGAAAGCATATGCACCAAATGTAATATAAAACGACTCGCTTCTCGCTAGGGGCTCCACCCCCCGTGCGTGGGCTTTGTCAAGGCCTCGCGTGGCGAGTGCTGCGCCCTCGCGAGCGCTCGGCTTGCTCAGAGCTCGCTTCCGTCACTCTTCGCCTCGCACGCCTTACGTTGAGGGTGTTTTACGGCTATTTAGAGTACCAATCAAAATATTTGATCATCTGTTATCTGTTTCGTGCACTGTAAAATGCTTACGAACTAAATGCTTTGCAACGTTACAACCAAGCGATTGTTTGTAAGGCTAGGAAGGTTCTTACGAACGATTAGTTTGTGTTACGAACTATTTGTTCGTAAGCTTAGCAATTAAGCGAGTAATACAACGCTTCAAAATTCTTCGTAAGCTACGGAGGTTTTGGTTTGCATTACGAACCTATTGTTCGTAAGCAATTTACAGTGTGACTATTTTTCAGAAAAATAAGGTTTGCAACGGTTCTAGGCAGTTCAATGCTCGCTTTGAGCTGTTTTCATCGCTTAGTGCAGAACAAATACAGGAGGGTGAATATGTCTTTTCAAGTCAATTTCCATTTCTGGCTGGGCTGGGAGTGGGGCCGCTCTTCAGTTGGATTTTCAGAGTTGGGGTGTCGTGTGGCTAGTAAAATATTGATTTTCGGTAAAACGATTGTCGTATGTTACAGGAACCCTTCCGCAATGGAGAATACAAGTTTGAGCAGCAGCCCGGAGAAGAAGAAGATGAAGATGGAGTGAGTTTTGGTGAAAACCTTCAACTTTCTTTCTCCTCAATACACGAAATAGACAGGGTGACTGGCTGACAGTGATAGGCAAACAGGCAAATAAATAGGTAAAGGCCAAAATACCATAGTTTTTCAAACTTTTTACAGTAATCGCGCATCTGCAACCCGGCGTTCTACACGGTTTTAGTTGGGGTATAGTACGACCCTTAATTACCGCAAAGGAGAAATATCGAAAATCGCAAACCCGTTCCGTAGAGCGCATGGCGAATCCGCGCCGCGACACTTAAGCCCCTGATGGCCAAATGGGCGGTTTGACACTGGATTTTACTTGCCAGTCCAGAAGCAGAGTCCTTAGGGTCACACATGAGCCGCAAGGCGCCTTCTCCAAGTCGGCGCTGCAGTGCCTCCAACATGACCGTGTGTAAAAGGCTGTTTATTGGCTCTCGAAACGAAAATCGCGATGAGCGACGGGAAAACGTTGTCCGATCGCGTCCATGTTTGTACAAGGTCAAATCTATCATTTAAAGCACCAACCACGGAAACCTCAAAAATGGAAACCCAAAAATGGAATGGCCTACTGAGAGTGGTGCGGTAGTGGTTGAGTATACCATATAGCCCTGAACGACCTCCGTGTGTTGCAGGAGTCCTGGAGGAATGGCGGCGATAGCAGGCGGCAGCCAGGAGGTGGAGATAAAGGAAGAGCAAGAGCCAAAGGAGGAAGAGGGGGAGAGGAAGTGCAGCCCAGAGGACAGAAAAGAGTGGAAGGCGTATCGGGACAGTAACAGCGGTCGGACTAAGAAGATCGTTCAAGAGGGTAACAGTAATACCCACGTCAGTGTTGACGTACAGGTTTTCGATCCGGCAGTGGCGGACGATGAAAACAAAAGGCATGCGCGCATGCTCGCGAGTGCGATCAAGCTCGTCAACCACAGGTACAAGCCCCTGGATCGGGTCACCAGCAACAACCCATATTCGCCCCAAGGCATGAGGCACAACGCCGAGTTGAAGTTTTTCGACATCCGTGACAAGTCAGTGCGTGACCTCATGAGGGATGTCACCAAACACCAGTACCGAAACCCCAAAGACACCAAGAAACCCAAACCCATCGACCTGACAGGGAAGAGCGCGCGGTACGTGATCGCGGCGGAGAGGCTGCGGCAAGAGACGTTGATCACGCTCTGTACGGGCGACATAATAAGCTCAGAAATTCCATACGCTAGAACCCATCCATGGATGGGGCGAGAATTGGGCTTAGGCCCAGAAGAGACCTACGAGGCCAAGTTTGAAGGACCGGGCCTCAAAGAAGTGACCGAGCAAGTTGTGAGCGAGCACCGCATGGAGATAAGTGACAACGAACCTCCCCCCCTTAGCTTGGCAATTCACTTGTTAGACGCCAGTATTATAAATACAACGAAATCCTCGGTTTTTTAAAAGGAGTAATTGGCACACTCGGAGGACCCGCGACTGGGAGGAGGCGCCTGGCTGACCTGTTCATCGAGTTCGCGCACAGCCACTCCCTCGTGGGGGCGCCAGAGCTAAGCGACGAGGAAAGGGGGGAGCTCTTCAAGATATGCTTTCTCATCATGGACAAGAATCAAGCCATGTGGCAGGGGTGCTTCTTCAAGCAGGGGCCCAAGGGGGGCAAGGGAAAGGTATGGCGACTGGGGATGAGCGTGTCCTTCGCGAGGCTGATCATCCTCTTCAGGGAGGGTGTGATCAAACTCAACGATGTGTTTTTCAAGTACGGTATCTACGGTAATCATGACGGCATACTGATGATTAAGAGTAATAAGGCAGTGACTTCAAGGTGCGACGCTATTGATGAAGAATACAGGAAGTATAAGGGAAGGCCCCTAACCCTACAGGACGCAAAAGACGACCTCCGCATCGTGTACGGCGGGGTGGGTTCGCGGCAGGAGAAGAGGTACGAAGCGGAGAGGAAGTACTTCCACAACCGCTTCCTGCGGGTAGACCACCCTTTGTGTGAGTCTGAGTACATGTCGCGGTTTGTATTTGCGTCGTTGCGGGCTTACCCTCTGGAGGGCGATCCCTTGCCTGACGTGGACTCCTACAAGGCTAAACTAAAAGAAATAATGAAGGCCCTCGGGGAAGGCAAACAGGGACAGAGGCGCCTGGCGGAATTGTTCATTAAGTTCAGGACTAGCCACTCCATCTCTGAGGCGGAGGCGTCAGTGCTAGACAAGCAGCAAAAGGAAATATTTACTGCCATGTGGAGGGTGCACTGGCTGTGGCAGTGGGGCTCCTACGAAAGGAAGCTTTGGCCCCTCGGACTGACCGTGTCCTTCGCACGGCTGGTCCTCCTGTTTAAGAAGGGTGAGATTACGCTCGACTATGTGTTCGAAGCGTGCGGCATTAGCCCGAAACATGACTCTGTCGCCTCAGTGCGGGACAAGTGCAAAGATATCGATGATAGATACGCAAGATGTAAAACCGAGTCCGAACTGGACCCGATGAAAGAGCTACGTGAAGTATATGGGGAGGATGAGGATTGGAACTATTATGTAAATAAGCCTCGCCTTTCACTTAAAATTAAAGAGGCGCTGAAAGCTGTGCCTGCCGGTACGGCCCAGCCAGAAAGCCATTGACAGCACGGAAAAAGGAGAAGAAAAGAAAAAGAGAGAGAAGGAGAAAAAGGAGGCAGGGAGATGAAAGAGGAGAAAGAAGGAAAATAAAGGGAAGAGAGAGAAAAAATTAAGGATGTAGGTCCTTTTTTGGAATTGTCAGGCAGCAAGGAAACATTTAAACAAGTAAAATACTTTGTTCTTTGATTCGGAATTTAAAAATTCAAACACTGCTTTTGTACACCAACAGATAAATATAACATTTTTTTATTCTTTGAAAGCTTTTAAAAAGGCAGATTATTTACTTCCTCCACAGGTCACAACAATAATTCGAACTCCAGAATTTTTTGTTATCTCGTTTCGCTCGCGGTGATGGGTGACCTCTTATGTCACCTTACTTAGATTTGTGGTTGGTCAACATTTTTAGCTCGTAATGTTCAGAAAATTGTTTGTTCACTTCGCTCGCGGTGACTTCTGATTCCCCTTTTCTCTTAGCATATGGTTATGGTCCCAATTTTAAATCATAATTATCAAAAAAACAATTCGCTCGCTTTGCTTGCGAAAGCTTCTGCTTTCATCTGACTCTGAGGCATCAGAAGCCTTGTTCAAGTGTGCTCTACCATTTTGGAAAACGGGTGTTTGTACTTTCAAAATTTGCGTATTTTCATTAAATTCCCCGCAGTGGCGCCAAGACGATTTTCGCGAGGTGCAGCAAGCCGGAGGCACAACACCCGGTTATTCCACCCACACACCTGGTTATCCCCCCCCCCTTCGTTTTCCCTATTTCCAAATGTTTTTCAGCTGGATTATTTTTTGACGCTGTTAGCAAAGATTAGCTTTCTTACTTAACACGCCCACTTAGGCAGGGACACCAGTGGCGGACTGGGTAGGTGGAGCGCGCCGATGGAGGCGAGCGCATCGAGGTGAGCAGACCCGCCGTGCAGCCGAGCCCCCACGGAAAAAAGAGAATTAGTCCTCACAACTAACATATTAGCTAATTCTGGGATAGACAACCTTAAAGTCGCTGTGGCAGCTAAGAGTTGGTTGTCACAGCCAAGAGTTAGTTGACACAGCGAAGCTGTCGCTGCAGGAGCCAATCGGTTCGTTCAGACAACTAATTGGGTGTTTCGCTGTCAGAACGAACCGATTGGCTCCTGCAGCGACAGCTTCGCTGTGGCAACTAACTCTTGGCTGTGGCAACCAACTATTAGCTGCCACAGCGAATTTATTGACTATCCCAAAATCACCTAATTTATTAGTTGTGACAGCTAATTCTTTTTTTTCCGTGCCGGCGCGGCCTACCCTCAGGCGCGGTATAAGGAGGGGGCGACAGGAGGGGGCGATGCACTGTGGGTTGCCTACATACAGGGGTTTTGTAGCACAAATTGCCTACCTTTCAGGCGGCTCTCTACAGACGATGGGGGGGGGCGATCGCCCCCCCCCCCTTATACCGCGCCTGCCTACCCTCACTGATAAACTAAGTGTTCAACTGCTCAACACTTGTAAGTGTGCAACTGCAAGCTGAATACTAGCAAGTGTGCAACTCCGCAGTCGTACACTTGCAAGTGTTAAACTCGGTAGATGTGTACTTGCAAGTGTGCAACTCCTCGGTTGCACACTTCCTTAGATTGGACGCTTACTGTGTAGGAAGTGTTCAACCAAAGAGTTGCACACTTGCAAGTGCACACCTACCGAGTTGCACACTTGCAAGTATTGAACTTACAGTTGCACACTTAGAAGTGTTGAGCAGTTGAACACTTAGTTTATCAGTGCTCCAGGCGCCCAGGTGAAGCGCGCCGCTGGAGGCGAGCGCCCCGAGGGGAGCAGACCCGCCGTGCAGCCGAGCCCCGGCGCGGCCTACCCTGCAGCCCAGCCGGTCTGTGTCGGTCTGTGTAGTTAATCCGTAAGCATGTATGTATGCATTGATTGCTTTCGTCTCACTTTTTAGCTAAACTTGGGTGTCTTGATATCGTAAACTAGATGGGTGACAAATTTTAGCATGTTTAGGAATCAACATGAGGTTGATGTGGGTGAATAAGACGTGTTAATACGAATTAGCAGACGCGCGAGCTTCGCCCCATGGAACATAAAGCCAAAGCGGTCAGATCGCAGCAATGATTGCTGATATATCAGCGTACAATGTACACTGTTAAGTTTTCCGAGCACCTCACTCTCATCTGCAGAGAGAACGCTTGCTGTCTGCTGTGGTCTGGGCGGTTCAGCTCCACCGGGTTGGCAGGCAGCCCAAACAACGTGGCTGCCGGAGCGGTTGTGGTGGGCCGCTAGCAAGCGCACCCGCGCGGCGGCAGTGGCGACAGTGAACACGCGTCATCGCCGTGGCAACCGTCTGCCGGACTTAACCTCACTGTCTGGTCTGCCCGATACGAACAAAAACTAACACGGGAGAACGCGGACACGCAAAACGCTTTCAATGTGGGGGCACCTGAAAGTGTTACATTCATGTGTGTTCTCAAAATATATGTTTTCTTCGGCACCTCATTGGTCTTCCCGTTGAATGTGCATTAGCCTTCGCAACCAATGCGTCTACCATAGCCTTAGCTGGTCGCATACCGGCGAAGCCATAAGCTCCTCCCCTCCGCTCCTCCCTCACTACTAACTCATTTTTTCCGTGTATTCAATATAGCTCAGGGCGAGCCTATAAAGAAGCCATAGCAGGATGTCTCCGCAAACTACTTTACAGAACTGCCACCACCGACGCAATAGGAAGTAGTTCTTTGAAGGGAAACCTCCGGTACACCTACACCATGCCATAAAAAAATTATGCGCCCACTTTTAAATGTTTTTGCAACAGTAACTGCATCGGGTTTCTTTTCCTTCTGCATTGCCCGGGGCCCGGGGGGTCACCGAGGGGAACACACCGGTTAAACAAGGCGCAGAAGGATCACGTGATTTCACCCTGCGTCGTGATTGGATGTTTGCCGTCTTGGCCGAGACGAGACCGGGCAGCGGCGCTGGCAACTACAATGTCGTCAGCTGTCAGTGCCTCCGCATCGCCCGGTCAGGGCAGACGCAGCTTCTCTTTTCCGACTCCTAATGCCGCATTCGGCCGCATCGGCGGCGCATCCAGGCACGGCACGCCAGCCGTTATTTAATTGGATTACATCGTTGGATATCTTGCTTGTATTTTGTGAATGTAAGTAATTCCGCGACCCTCTCCCGGTATTGTGAGAATCGAGAATGTGCTACAACCGTCCAGTGAAGAAACTATGATGGTCGTTTCCACGCTCAGCGCAGCGTATGCTCAAAGGGGGGGGGGGGGTTCCATTTGAAACTTTAGGCCGTATGGTATGGTATCAATCGACCGACTGCAACCCGGCGAGTGTCTCAAGGTTAAAGCCTGAGCGTACCCGTCGAGCGTAGAAATGACCAATTCTGAACTAGGTAGAGACATTCCGTAGAGCCCCGAGAGTGCTCTAAGGTATGCATACCCGCTGAACAGCTCTGCCGCCGGAGGAGTCCACCACCCAGGCGTGCTAAGCTCTGTTTGTAAAAAGCTTGAAGAATTATATGTATCACTGTAGAAAACATAATTTAGGTTTTATTGCAACATTACAAGCACTATGTATCGACTTGGAGTTTACCGACGAGTAAGATTGCGGGGTGTCATAAATTTACGACATATTACAACATAGTGATACAAAATATGTCCTAAATTTTTTTGACCGTTGTTGTTTGTAATCACAAAACAAATGCTTTTTTACAAGCGTAATATGCCAAACTTCGTTGTTTCGAAGAATCTCTGTATGTGGCCGATAAGCTTTTGACTACAGTGCGCACGTTTCAGTGCCACTCATCGTAAGTTGGGGTGGCCGGGGTCAGTTGGGGTCATTCGGTCTAGGCCAGTCTTGGAGTTGCATCTCTCCTCTCTGCACTGTGAAAAATATCGGCGTAAATTTACAAAATCTTTTTAAACCCGAATTATAATTTAAATAGTAAATTTACGAGAGCACATTTTTTACTCGCCAGTGGATTTTAAGCAAGGGGTCCCCCACTTCCAAAATAGGTGAACAACGAGTTGCTGAGTCGCCGAGGTGCCGAGTTGCCGCGTTGCCGCGAGTAGGGCGCGAGTTGGGATCAATTTTTAGAGAGTTTCACGCGATTTTGGCGCGAGTTTTCGCGATTTTGACACGAGTTTTCGCGAGTTTTCGCTAGCTTTTAGCATAGGGCTCTGCGTGTGTACCTGGCTATTTACACTGTTTGCATCTTTTTGTAGGTGTTCAGGAGATGACGCATACATGTACACACTTGGGTTGCTCGAGTAAATGCATTTGTTTTTTAGGGCAAACGTTCGTGATGAGTTAAACCTACGTTTCATTTGGATAAATTTGTGCGCAAATCTGTAGGCCTATGATTACGTACAAATGAACACAAGCAGTGTTTAAAGCAGAAACGTTTGAAGAAAATGATTGCTTAAAATCGTACAAATAAACGATACAATTCCAGTTAGTGTGTCGAACTGGGTAGCATTCGAACACTGTAAAGTGTGTGCTCAAATGACGCACATAAGAGTAACAATGTATCATGCAAAGAAAAGTGTGACAACCATGGCATACACAGGATAGTGTGTAAAACGTGTATACATGTCCGACACGCACTTTTCAGTGTTCGAATGCCACACACTTCTGTTTGTACATCAGGCTTCTAACCACTCTAACTGTACACGCCCCTGTACTGTACTAAAATAACGCGCGGTGAACGTAACCTCGAGGTGATGCGAGGGAAAGTTGGGCGACGTATAATATACGATCTCTTGTTCGACGCTCCCTCAACTTGCTGAGGTGACCCACCCAGCTTGAAGCAAGCGCTCTCATTCGCGAGGCCTCTCGAGACTTTTATCGTGCGTTGACACCTTTATTTGTTCCTCCTCTTAATCCTTATTCGGCATGCACTATGTTCCAGGAACCCTTAAAAAATGGCGCTGTCGATAGAGGGAGACATAGAGAATCGATTTCAGAAGAGCCTCCTGAACGCCCGGCTACAAGTGGCCGCAGCTGATGGTAAAGTCAATGAAGTAAACGACCTCGTACAAAAAGGTGCGGAAGTCAATTTCCGAGACTCGGATGGAAACTCTTACCTCCACTTTGTGGCTTGGCAGGGCTCTGAGGTCATGTTCCAGTGTCTCATTAATAACGGTGCCAAGATGAGTATTGAAAACAACATGCACGAGACGGCTCTCGACGTGGCGTTCAGTGCTAAAAAAGACGGCATTGTAAAACTAATTGCAGCAGAAATGATTAAAAAGACTGACGAACTCGGCTTCGAAAACTATAAGCAACAGAAGAAGATAAATGAACTGCAAACTCTAAAAGGGCAGAAGCAGGAAGTCGGGTTGTATCCTGCTACTCTTAGAAAGGACTACAATTACAACTACGAAGATAGAGAGATTGACACTTTGATGAATATTTTGTGTGTTCCTTTAGAGCAAGACTGTTTAAAAGAAAAAAATATAAGATTCTGCGTCATATTTTCCATAAGTTGCGATAAGAACCAAACTAAAGAAATATTTCTGATCCAGAGTGAGGAAGAGAAGACTTTCTTTACGACATCCTGGAGTCAGGTTCAGGTAAATGAGGGTAAAATAACAGAGGAAAACTCGGTTAAAATTTGTTGCAATAATAATGAGCATGACCCTATAACCTCTGCGTTAGCGCGATCATTTATTATAATGTCTGAATCACGCAAGAAAACTTACCCAAATATTTGGAATAAAGAAAACATTCAAAATTTAATGAGGTCGCGCAAAGTGACACACGAGGACTGGAGAGTGTTTTTCGCCAACCTTATTTACGAATTAGAGAGAACCCACCAAAAAGCGGTGAAATGGCTAAGTTTCTTGAAGGTTAAAAGTGAAAACGAGTACAGACAAGCAAATATTCTGATATTTTTTCTTGAGACATTTGCCGCACAGGATTCCTATTTTCAGATTCCAGTAACGAGGGCTGCACCAGAAAGATTAACGGAATTGAGAGAACTTAAGAAAAATTACTTGCGAAGAATTAGTCAGATGCTGCTTTCAGAAGGAAATCAGATTGATGTCGTGTCAATTTCCTCGACAATGCGGACGAATATTCTGAAAAAGTCACCGTCCTTTCAAGTTCAACCAGAAAGTATCATAGTTTCTGTCAATGACGACCTAGGTTTGGACATTTCGGAACTTTTTAGTGCGTTGAAAGACTTTGCCCAAAGTGTGGTAGATTATATGGAGAATAAAATACCTGGGAAACTGCCAAAAAATACACAGGAAGTATTCAAAAAATTAGAAGAAAATGCGTCAGAATTTTGCCCTGCGAAAGGACGTCGTTTGAGGCAGATTGATCAAGCAATCAAGGCATTTTCCATGGATGTTAACAAATTGGGCGAAGATGGGAATCGACTCCAAAGTGTTTTGTTCAACTTGCTTGTTAATGTCTTCCCCCGACTAGAGATATCTCCCTTGCGTGACAGTCGAGTGCGTCATCTAAGAAATGAGGTCATGCACAATTTTCATAATCAGAAAGGTACTGAATTAAGTCAAAAAGTTCCGTGTGTTATTCACGATCTGTATAGGTACCAGTTGGCATTAAAGATGCACGAAGTGCTTAAAAAGCGTGGAGACAACCGGGAACTTGCAGGACTTAAAGAGGAATTGTCGAACATAATGAAGACTGTGGGAGAACACTACGTTAACTTCAACTTGGGCATCAGTACTGGGAAAGGAGACATTCTCTACGATTCTTGTGATTCGTCTCGGACGAGGGAGCAAATACCTAAAATTGTTCAAACATATGTAGACTGCATAGCACCAATATTTGACAGTTGTAGCCATGAGGAAGAAGAGGATGATGTCGTTTCCTCACCACGCCTTGGAGGCTTACAAAAAAGAGAGATATTTGAAAAATTCTTGGCTATTCGGAATTCTACAGAAACTTCAGATCATGATCGCGTTCAGTCATTATGCTTTGAACTAGAAGACAAACTCCTACAGCATGGTATAGTGGAAGCCACTTCGGCAGTGGAAAATGCTTTTCATAGTTCTAATAAGCAGGAAAATACGACACTGGTGACAACAATTCAGCAGGAAGTAGAGGGACTTTTCAACGTACATTTATCTACACGTGAGTTTAGAGACAAGTTGTCGTGTCAGGATGTAATTGTTTTGCTCGAAGGGTTAATTAATAACCCATCTTATTCTTTTGGCAAGCATGCAGAGCAAATTGATCTGTGTTCGGAGGGAAGAAAGTTCATTGAGGAAAAATTGACCTTAATAGTCAATGAGGAAGCAGTTGATGTAAAATGGCATGGAAAACGCGTAAAAGTAAAAAAATCGACTGTTGTTCTAAGTTTACTTAAAATTTTGAGCGAAGTGCAAAGAGCTTATCAGGTGAAATTTGATTCAATAGTAGCAGCGTTTGAAGACCCTGAGTTCGTTTCTTATTTGGTGGAGAAGGAGATGAGAGAACAAGCTACTCTCTCGATCCACGAGCTGGCTAAAGAGCTACCAAAGTTAAGATTCCTTGCCCCTTTCATAGCTTCTCTTGTCATCAAGCGGAAAGATTTTTGTTCTCTTGATGAGAGTTCACGTACAATTCTGTTGGAAATGCTGTTGCATGGCTCCTCGGATATAACATACGTTAAGGACTTCGTTGCTCTGAACAAAGATGAAGTGACCCAGACTATGTTCAACATTGTTGCTGAAGGTGAAGGTGTGGGTGAAGAGAAAGCTATATTTATTTTAGTTGATATTGCTTTCAAGGGCAACCTCGGTGTCGTGTTTAACAACTTGAAAGATAAAAACAGTGATTTAAAATCAAGACATATTATGGAGCATAGAATCATGTATCTATTTAACAAAGCATTGCTGGAAACAATTAATGCGGGAAAGTTGCATGATGCCGAAAATTTAATTAACGAGATAGAGAAAATTTCCCTGGACATGGCCAACAGTACTACTACCCTAAACTTGCTGAGAGCCAAGCTTCTCATTATTACAGGAAGAAGTTTGTGTAAAAACGGTAAAGACACAGCCAACAAAGGTAAAGGTAAAGACTGTTATACCAAAGCCCAAAATATATTGACCGCATTAATAGATTCCTTTGGTGAGAATGTAACGAATAAATACTACATGCTGGCTTTGTCGAGATTAGCGTATACTTGCCACCTTTTGGGAAAGTGTACCAATAATCCTATAGACCAACACAAACTGAATGAGAGTGCTTTAAAATATTCAGAACAGTTGTGGCGTGTTTTGTGGCAAACCATTTCAATGAGCAGAAAAGATCCTCCAGATTTCATTACCGTCCTGAACAGAGCAGATGATTCACAGAAGTATAGAAAACTCATGAAGAGCGGAGAATTTTGGAAATATTTGAACGTACCGAAAATTCGTCAGTGTGTAGGGCTATATACTGGTCTTAAAGGAAAGTATTTGGAAGACCCTAAACTCTTGGAAGAGGCTATAGAGATTCTACGCGAGATTTACGATGTTACTGCTGCGAAACGGAAAGATGATTTCACGTCCCGGCGTCTAGTTGGAATCTTAAAACACACAGCAAATAATTACAAGGACCTTTCTCTCGTCGTTAATGACTTCGAAAGAAAGTCCTTTTATCAACTGAAACGCTTCGAACTTACGTTAATGCACTACAGTTCAGGTTTAGAATGTTTCGGTTTCGATCCAAACCATACGAAAAACTGCTATCGAATGGCAAAGCAATGTAAGGACGCATGTACCCGTGGTAGAAGTCCGGCGGGGGCCAGAGGTAGAAAACGACTCTACTCCGGCCCTGACAGAGGGGATGACCCAAAACGGATGCGGCCCGAGACCAGAGACCCCTATACTCGTCATGATGCGTTAACGATGCCCATGAACTACCAAGGTCAGCGAGGAGAGCAGGAACGAGGGCAGGGGCGGGAGCAAGGGCGAGGGCAGCGGCGAGTGCAGGGGCAGGGGCGGGGTC